GTATTCCGGTCAAGATTCTCCCAACACTCCTAGGTTTAACCAAGAGAAAGGTAGTGGGTCTCCATTACCTAAGCCTACTTTCACCAAGTGTGGAAAGAATCATCATGGTAAGTGCCTAGATGGCACGGAGGGTTGTTATGGTTGTGGAAAGAGTGGGCACAAAATGAGAGATTACCCGGTTCTTAAGGCTAAGGAAGGGAGGATAAGCAAGTTGCCACTAGTGGTTCGGATGAGATTGTTCAAAAGAAGAATAGGTTGTATGTCCTTCAAGCTAAATATGATGAAGAGTGACCTCTTAATGTTGCTACCGGTATGTGTTTCATTCTTTATTAGATTTTGGTATTGTTTGGTCTTTTGTAACTTGATATGTTAGACTTTGAAGTTGTCTTTAGTATGAATGATGTTAGAAGAGTTTGTATAGGCTTACTCCCAAGGGGGAGGTGGTGTGCCTAGATAGCAAGGTCATTGTGTGTTTATGTGTGGCCATGATTTCCTTATATGCATAAACATGAAAAAACTTAGGTCTTAATAAAAACGACTTCTGTGCATTGTTTTTCCTCATGTTGTATTGCATTGAGTAGAGTTGCCTATATACTTCATCAGATGAACTAATGAGCATGCCTTAGTTTGGAGTTGAAAGATTCCTCCTTGAATAAATGATTTTGAGAATAAAGTGCATATACGCTCCATGAGTGTATGTTGAGCATGTTTTAGCTAGGAGATGGTAGTTCCTCCTTGAATAGGAGTAGATATAGAATTTCATGCATTTTGGGTTATTAGATGTAGTTTTTACTCCCTTGCGTTGCATTGAGTATGTTTATCTTGGAGTTGAAGTTTTCCTTATTTGTTGTGTGCATTTAGATGAGTTGCATGCATGATGGGTTGCTAGTCTAGAGTTGTGACCCTAAGGAGTGCCTAGAGCGTCATTCGAGGACGAATATTCCCAAGGGGGAGATATTGTAACACTCGGGAACTAGTAGGCTAAACTAGAGCCTTATGTGAGGGTTCTATAGTTTGATGTGGGGGGTTAGAGTCGTAGATATGACCTCCCGTACTTAAAATGAAGGGTTTAGGGGTTAAACGTCAAGGTACGACTCCCCAAAGACCAACCAAAGTTCCTTGAGGAGGACCCTACAAACTACCCAAAATCTGCCAAAAGATTAGTGCACCCACGAGTGGGGGACCTACTCCCCGTAGAAGGACCCATGTCCCATTGGTGAGGGGTGAGGGGTCATGGGTCAAGGCCCCAAAACAAGCCACAGTAACTCACCCACGATTGACCAGCACGGACCGTGGGTGGACCTACCGCCCGTCAGCGTTGTCTTGTGGGTTGAGATAGTGTGGTCCTTAGGCGGTTTAAGTTGGGGGTTAGGGAACTTTATAGAATTAATTAGATATTAAGTGAGGTGGTTTTATTAGTAATTAGACCACATATATAAAGCTATTAGACCCCTAAATACATTGATCCTAGTCATTATTTCAATTCCCCCAAAAGAACCCAATTCCCTCCAACAAATTCTCTCTCTCGAAAGTAAAGAAGAAGAAGAAGAAGGATGAGGGTTCAAGCTAGGTCAAGGCTTCATTGTTTCAAGCTTTGTAGGGCTTCATAATCAAGGTATGATAGCTTATTCATCCATGGATTCTTCCATCCATGGAGCGCCCTAGATTTCCCTCAATTGTGAAGATGAAATCCCCAATTCTAGCTAGGTTCCTTCCAATATTGTGAGTTAAGTTGAGTATGATTCTAATTGAGTGGATAGTACCTGTTTATGATTGATTTAGTAGTGAATCATGTTATTATGATGATATTACATGTTTTCCATGGCTAACCCTAGTTTAATTGATGAAATTGTAGTAATGTGGGTTTATGCCTTGTGAAGGGGAATTGAGGATTTAGAGATGATCTTCTAGAATTAATGACATGTATAGTAATTGTTCATGAATAAAAAAACCAAGTAGACATGAATTGAACTAGATTATAGTATATGTGATGGATCATGACGAGTAAAGCTTGAAGTTGAACCTTTATGATGATTTATGACTAGAATCACTTAATAATAAAGAATGTGATTAGAACGCCTTGAAATCTAGGTATGAATGATGAGCTAGCATTGTTGTGGAAGGACTTTAGCCACTTAATCTACCATATGAATGTTTGAATGCATAAAGTGATAGAATCACTTGAAACATGGATTGGTTGTCAAGGACATCCCTTCATGAGTCATGAGTTAAGCAAGGGTTAATAATTAGTTTAAGGGGGTGTATGCTTGGCCCTAATGGATATTGACAATGAGAAGAAAGTTCACACATAGTCGGGTCCGGGTCTCCAAGAAGAGAGGATGCTCACACCTAGTTGAGTCTGGGCTTCTAAAGTAAAGAGTGAACTCTCACATAGTAGAGTCCGGGTTTTCCCAAAAAGTAGGTCTCATGAGATGGAAGCCTTCACATAGAAAAGTCGGGGTTTCTAGTTACAATTTCCTTATCCAATGAACTAAGACATACTTGAAAAGGTATCTCCAAGTATTCAAAAGCATTAATGAACTAAGACATGCTTAATGAAGTATCTCATAGTGTTCAAGTTAATAATGAACTTAGACATACTTGCAAAGGTATCACATAGTGTTCAAGATAATAAAGAAGAGGAACTAAGATGGACTTAAAGAAGTACCTCCTGGTGTTCCAATTCTTAAAGAGGGACTAGTCTCTAACCTAGAAGTATGAGTATCAGGACCTAAAGTAATACTTAGTATGGATAGGATTATGGGGTCTTATTCATGCATTGTCAAGTATGACTTAAGGTTACCTAAGAAGTGTTTCTCTTATATGATGTATGTTTTGATGGATTATTGCTATAGTTGCCTTCCATGTTGTGTTTGACTAAAGGTGAAAGAATCCCTTGTCTATGAGAAGTAAGCTAAGGATGATACCATAAGATGGTAAGTATTATTATGATGACTTAAAAGTTGTACTTAGTGTGGGTGAGATTTTGGGGTCTCATCCATGCAATGCACAAGTATGCTTTGAGGTTACTTGAGAAGTAGTTCTCTTATGATATGAAGGACTAAGGATTGAATAATGCTTATAGGATGCCTATGTTGGAGACTTTGCTTATGATTATGATATTGTCTCTTATGCTTAAAGTTTATGCTTCATGAAGTATCTCTTGTGATTATGCCATATGGCTTATGTTGACTAACCCTTATGTTATGCTCTTACGATGTTATGTTAGCTATCATATATAGTACTGTTGTACTAATTCATACTCTTGCCTACATTCTCATCAAATGTAGGGTCCGGCGATTTGAGTTGCATTCTTGAAGATAGGTTTCTAGAAGTGCAAGGAGTTGAAGACTTGGTGAGTCCTCATAGCATTGAGGATGAAGCCACCATTTCCTTTTATGTCTTTCTTTTATGATTTAGACTTTTGTATGGGTTGCGTCCCAAAGTTTTATTCAAATGGTTATAGATGGTTTGATTCAAAGTGTAGTAAGACTTCCGCTTGCTTTTATAAAGATTTCGATTGTATGGATAAAGTTTTAAAAATTTCCGGACTTTTCTAGTATCTTATGTTATGATATGCTAAGTGGCTTGTATGAGACCACATCGGGGTTAAGTACGCCATGTTACATCTAGGGTGTACCCCTGGATCGTGACAACCACTCTACAGAACTGACCTTTAAGTTTTGATGGTATTTTCTTATCACACAAGACTCTAGAGGTAAGCTTCCACTTCATCTACATTATACCAATATGATGTGTGATATCATCATTTGATGTCCCCGCTTTTCTGGATTATAGAATCAGTATACTTGAAGCTATCTTTCTTTGAGATAACTTGTGTGCCAAACCTCACTTCCTCGCATGCCTCATGATTTACATCACTGAACCCTTTAGACTCTAGAGTTTGTATCCACACCTTCAACCTAGCATTAACTGTCATGCATGTCTCATCAATCAGTATTATGTCATCTGCAAATAACATACGTTGATGCACCTCATCTTGAATATACCGTGTTGATTCATCCATCACCTAGATAGATAGAAACAATCTAAGAGCTAATATGTAGTGCAACGTCATATCAATCGTAAAGTCTTTCGAGTCTCCTCCCATTATCCTAATTCTAATTTTGGTTCCATCATACATGTTCTTTGTCGACTTATATAATAAAACTCATCGGTACACTTCTAGCATCTTGCGGACATCTCTAGAAGACTTCCATTGAAACATTGTCGTAGACCTTTACAAGGTCAATCAACACCATATGTAAGTCCCTTTTCTTTTTTAGATATTTCGTCACCATTTGTATGCCTCTATGAACCCTACAAATAGATGTATTAAGAACTCATATTATATACACTTTCAAACTTCGGAAATAGTTGAAAGAAAAAAAAAGAAATTCCTACACTTCCATCTCTTGTCGCTCTTTATTGTTTTATTATTCCTACTTTCATCTTTTGATCTTTATATATATATATATACTAACTTTTTTGGGTTGATTTTACAATAAAATTTGAATATTCCATAAATATTATTATGCCATCACTGCATTAACTATAAGTTTTAGGGGTCGTTTGGTAGAGTGTATTAGGAAAAATAATACATGTATTAGCATTGTGTATTACTAATATCTTGTTTGGTACTCTTTTTCAACCTATGTATAACTAATGTTTGCATTGCATTAGTTATACACTTTATTGTGTAATAAGGTGTGCATGCTAATACCATGGATTTCTAAGTTTTGGCAATGCAATGATTTTAATGTATCAATTAACATGATAAAAGAAAGACTCAATTGCCCCTCAAAACCTTTTTTGCATCTTTTCCACCATAAAAGTGAAGGGTATCTTTGTAAATAATTTTTTAATGCAATACATACTATTTTTAATGCGTCAAACCAAACAATGCATTAAAATAATCTATGTATAATTAATGCAAACATAACTAATACATGCACTGCTAATGAAAGCATTACTAATACATTATATTTAACATTATTCGTATACACTCTACCAAACGACCCCTTAATACATAAGACATGGAACACTAAATCTTTTTTTAAAAAAACAATCGTGAAAGTGATTATCTCAAATACCTTTAAATAGGCAACAAAAGAAAATACTGAAAAGAGATAAAAGTCTCTTTAGAATAATAAGGCATCCACGTTAGCTTGTAATACGTGGCATATAGATGACATCAGCAGACCGGATAGTGATGTCCATACATTCCGTGCTGCTGCTGTTGATGATCAATAACCTCTTTCTGTCGCCGGAGTTCCATTACTTTCCGGTGAGAATTCGAATGTTGCGTCAACACAAACGTCGGGCTTGCCGCGGGACGATATTCAGGTACCAACCGGCCCGATTTGTACCTTACACCACAAGCATTACACAGTGTTTTGGGGCCTAATGGTCCAGTTCGCCACTGCGGTGTTTTCTCTGATGCACAATGGGTGCATTTTCTCGGTGTAATATTTGAAGTTATTGATGAAAATTTGTCTCTGTTATAAATACCTGAATTTTCGTCTTGATTGTAGTTTTTTTGGTTTGTGGATTTGTGTTGTTGGAGTGAGGAAGTAGTCCAGCTAGTGTTTGAATTACGTGAACGTTTACTTCTTGATTTGCTGTGCAATATTGTAGTAGTATTATTGGTATTATTGAGGTGGTACATGGTTTGTGTTAAGGAGTTTGAAGGGAAATTATTGGATGTATCTTCCACGAAGTTCGATAGCCACTCCAACTCTGCTACATCATCACTCTTCACAAATAACAAGAACAAGAATAAATAAATTATACTATTTATTAAATGAATAAGTTCTTTCTAACATCAATAGGTTAAGTTCACCTAAAATATTATGTAGCAAAACAATATGATAGGATAATTCAAGTACTTCTTTTTTCCAATTTATATGCTTCATTTTTTTTTAATTATTTATCAGAAAATATTTTTGACTGTCCCACCATATCTCATAAAACTTAATTTACTTCATGTGTTTAATTCATGTGATATAGTTTAACTCGATATCGAAGATGTTACTCATGTGTATATATATACTTACCGGAACACAGAGTTTATCGGTAAAGTCAACGGAATTGGGAAGAGCATCGTAGTAACAACCGGCGGCAGCAATATTATCGGTAGGAGGTGGTTGGTAATGGTGATTGAGATCAAAGTCGATGGCGGTTTTAGAAGAGGAAAAGATCTCTTCGTTTGAGAAATCAAGAAGATCATCAATCCGAAACACTTCTGGCGTTAACCGTCCGTAGACATCCATATTCTCCGATTAATGCTAAAGTTAGACACAGAAAATGTTGGTTTAAAGCTTTGATATGGACTATGGAGAGATAAATTTGAGCTGAGAATTATTCCTCCCACTAGAGAAAGAGTATATGAGTGAAGTAAGGGGCTGGTGAGTGAGGGATTGATATAGCACTTGGTAGTCAGTGTGCACTTAAATAATTGCAAGTGAAGGTACTACTGTGCGAAAATCAAACCGAAAAAAATATTGACTATACCCTTCATAATTATTACTGTATATATTATAATAATTTAACATAACTAGACACTATATCAGTACTCTACACTATGATTTTTACACTTCACACGTTACAATACTTCTACTTTCACATCAGAATTTTCCATATTATGTTTTTGTTGTAACATGTAATTGTAGCCTTCATATTACATCTACTCTTATTCTTGCAATTTCTCATTATATTTCTTGTTTCACTATATCAAGGCATTTACAGTTGATTTGCTTGTCTCATATCAAATTGTTAGAGAAGTGAGACATCATATATTTATTTTATGAGGATTTTTTTATTGGGTAAACTGAAAACCGAACAGTTAATGACCAAAAACTGATAAATCGAAAATCGATAAAGAATATCTTATTGATTTGTTATTGATTTAGCGTATTTAAAAACCGAAAACCAATAAACCGAACCGAATTGATAATACATGAAATTGAATCGAACCGACCGATGCACACCCTTTGTAAAGGAAGACAAGAGGAGGGTGGGGGAATCTACATGAGTGATTTTACAAGAGAAATGATGACAGTCGAGTGATTTTTTTTTTTATAAAATAAATTTGAATGACTTTTTCAAATAATTATCATTAATTGAGTGATTTTTGTGCTACAAAATAAAATTAAAGTGTCTTCCGATTAATTGCGTTAGGCGGGGATTTATAAACAACTGAAGTTAGTAGGATAATGCAAAAATTACCTAAGTTTGGAAATTGCAATAAAATAATTTTGGTTATGAGAATACCGACATGAAGAAATTAAAGATTATGCAATGTGAAGGGTATAGACAAATGGTGGCACTTGGCAGAATAGATTCAGCGTATTACTTACTATAACTATTATATTAGTGCATTATTGAAGTCATGTGCGATTGGACCGGGAAGATGGTGTGACCACTGCAATTTTTCAGAGTACTAACATGTTCCCTTTCACTTCCAAACTCCATAAATTTCTTTAACCTTTTTATTTTTTTCACTTCTTCATATTTGATATGATGTAAAAAAAATAATCATAAAACTATCACTCTAACATATTTTACCTTTAAAGGCATTTAATAAATCATATTCATTTGACTAAATGTTATTAATGGAATATCTATAACCAGAGACGGAGTTAGGTGCGGATTCGTGGGTTCGGACAAACCTAGTAGGTTTTCTGTAGACCTGTACTTTTACTAATATATATATATATATATATATATGTATATTAACTTGTGAATTCGGTACAATGGTAAAGGAGTGGCTATGAAACGCTAGAGTTGTGGCTTCGAAACCTCTTTAATCTGAACCACGATTTCTTTTAATTTAGAACCCCTAAATTCTTAATTCTGGCTATGCCTCTGTCTATAACCTATCTTTTTGATTAATGATCTTAGGTCAATGTTCAATTTATTTACTTCTTCCATAATCAGTATGGACTTTTTAAAAAAAAATATGGATTAAGGTCCTATTACCAATGCATAAAGTTTTAATATTGCAATATATATCGGCAAGGGATACGTAACACATGAGTGGTCCCAATTACAATATCAAGATTCCCCATTTCTTGATGTGAATTTTTTTTTTGAATGTATTGAATATGATTTCAATATATTAATAAGAATAGTATAGTATCACTCCAATTTCTTAATTCTACTAGTTAAAGAAATCAAGATCTAACAAATACAAAAAATAATGAAAACGTAACAACTAACATTAATGGCAGAGTGAGCACTCTCCTTTGCCTCCTGTATCATGTGATCATTTAATCAGTCACATGCGGAAACCATACTATATTGACTAGAACTGTTTTTATCTGTGTGAGTTTGATATTTATATATCTTATTATTGGTGATGAGATATGTGGATGCTCTAGTAAGAAGGTGCGAGAGAATGAATATAGTTGGGTGAAGAGATGTAGAGATAGCTCGAAGAAGTATTGGGGAGAGTTGATTAAAGACAGCTTATTGAGGACATGATTTAGATAGAAAGATATGGAGATCGCCTACTAGAGTAGAAGGTTAGTGGCAAGGCCCGCAAGGGCGGCTCAAGCACATTAGTGACCTAACACAAAAATCAAATGGAAGCTTTAAATTTTAAAAAATAAATTAATATATTTTCTTACGAATATTGTGATGCATAATTGTTAAAAAAGTAAATTATAATTGATTCCTTTAATATATTTTTTTCAATTAATAATATAATAAATCAATTTAATCTTCTCTCCAAATATGCCAAACTTTTATAATAATTCTTTCATTTTATAGAAAAAAATAATTTTAACTATAAATAGTACTTATTCAAAAAAAAATTTCTAAAAATAAACCTATAATCTTTTTTTTCTAAAAAAATCATATCATATATCATATATAAAAGAGAACCTTAAGCCCGCCTACGTGGCGCCACCACAAATCAGAATTCCCTTTTAATTTATTTATTTCCAAAACTAGCCTTCCCCTTACATGAAAAGTTGTGATATTTATGAAAAATTGCGACTTTTATTAAAAATTGTGACTTTAATGAAAAGTTGCGACTTTAATGAAGAGTTGTGGCTTTTATGAAGAGTTGTGACTTTTATAAAAAGTTGTGACTTTTATGAAAAGTTGCGACTTTAATGAAGAGTTGCGACTTTTTGAAGAGTTGTGACTTTTATGAAAGGTTGTGACCTTTTCGAAGGGTTGCAACTTTTTCAAATAGTTGTAACCTTTTCGATAAGGCACAATAAACATTTGTTCATACTACCCTTTTTTGTCTATAAATAGAGGGATTTCCTCTCATTTTAAAACAACGAAAATTCTGAACCTCCTCTTCTTCTTCACAATTAAATATTTGTGTACTTTGCTTCTGCTGAGTGACTCACTGACACCATTGATTATGTTACAGATCCTGATATGTATTTTTACAGTCATTAATTTATGCTTATGTTATTAATGATAAATTATAAGATGTACTAATAATTTTCATTTTCTTTTACATTATTAATGATTGTTATTACATAATCTTGTATGTAAGATAATATAGTGTTTTAATTTTAATGGCCGATAGATTTTAAGTAAAATTTTATAAATTTCGTGATATTAAATTTTCGCGCGAAGCGCGAATAATTTTACCAGTAAACCTATAATCTATTATTGCTAAAAAAATAATAATTAATAAACTCCCGGAAGCCTGAGACATGACTTGCCTTCTTTATAATCCTATCGAGCCGCCCCTGGTCAGTGGGTAGTGAATGGTTGTTTTGCTTTTAATTCAAGGGTTTTGGCTTGTTTGTTGTTATAGTAACGAAACGTTTAGTAGAGTGTACAAGAATAATGCAAAATAGGGTGCATTAGTAATGTCTGCATTAGTAATGCTTGCATAAGTTATGCAAGCATTATTTCTTATACACTGTTTGGTTTGATGTATTAGAAATAACAAATCTTGCATAATTTCTATATAAAAATATATGTTTACAAAAATATCTTTCACACTTTATTTATTTTTACACTTCCTTGCAACAAAGTTCTTTGCTAAAACATCATTAACTCCTCTTCTTTTCTTTTTTCAAAAATAATATTAAATAGTTGTACTATTTGAGTCAAAATATTTTTGTGAAAAGGTGACAAATAATTTTTTTATCAATTTTATCGCCACAACAGTAAAGTTTTTGATTAAATTATGTTGAAATTAGATTTTTTTTTTAAAAAAAAAACAAAGATACTTAAGAGGCCATAAAGTCTATCAAGACACCAACAAATTAAAAGACATTGAAAAAACAAATAAAAATAAAAATAAAAATAAAAACATATGATAAGAAAGAAAATGAAAAGAAGAGAAAATGTTAGGAAATGTTTTAAAAAGGCTTTGAGGGTAGTTTTGTAATTATTTAATCTAATGCAAGTGTTAAATGCTATGTACTACTAATACCTAAAATTACTTGGTATTAGTAATACACAACTTAATACACAATAGAGTGTAACATTAGTTATACATGGCAAGAAAAAGTGTACCAAACAAGGTACTACTAATACACACTTAATGCATGCATTATATTTCATAATACACTCTACCAAACGACTCCGTCAGTATTATTATAGTTTGTTTTTTTATATCTATCATCGTTTGTTATAAATAATGTTTCGATTATCGCACTATTTTGTTGTTCTTGTTTCTTTCTTGTAACATTTGTATTATTTCCTTTGTTAGTTGTTGTGATTTCTTTTTTCTTTTTTATACTTGAATTTCCTACATTTGAGCCAATAGTCTTTCAAAAATAATTTATCTACCTCCACAAAATAATGGTAAAATGTGTGTACACTCTACTCTCCCTAGATTCCACTCACCGGATAAATTATTGTTGTTGTTGTATTGGTAGTGTGAATTTTTTAAGATAATCAAATTATTTTAAAGTAATTACAGATAAATTAAATAATAAATAATAATTTATAAACTTAATAAAAATAGTAGTAACTAATTAATTTATCCTATAAATTAAATTATATCAAAAGTGTTTAAAAAAAAAAAACAGATGATCAAGATAAATAACTTAAGTCGTTAAAATAATGTGAATTAATATTCTTTTTCTTTTGTCCTTTGTCGGTGGTCACCCCTCCTATCCCACCCCATTCTTTCAAAGAAGGAACAAAAAATAATACTCCCGTACTAGCTATGTCCCATTATATATAACTCTAGTACTACTATTATTTAATAATAATAGATTATAGTATAGTCTTTACCAAATGTAATTTTCTTGTAATAATGAAAAAATAAAAAATTGACTTCACTATGACACTTTAGCCTTTGAAATTCTTCTATCAATTTGTGTTTTTAAAAATAAAAAATAAAAATACATGAAGCATACAAGTTCACTGAACAATTGCACACGATCCCTCGTGACCGAAAATGTGGAAGACTAGTTCAGTATATA